TGAACGAGCCGTACTACAACGAAGCCGGCTTCGACAGCGACCGGGGCCTGCAGGAGGGCTACGAGAACAGCCGCTGCTACAACGAGATGGCGCTGATCCGTGTGGTGCAGTCCATGACCCAGCTGGTGCGGCGGCCCGCCGAGGTCTTCGAGCAGGAGATCCGGCAGCACTTCCGCACCGGTGGCTGGCGGCTGGTGAACCGCATCGAGTCCTGGCTGGAGACGCACGCCCTGCTGGAGCAGGCCCAGGCGCTGCCCAACGGCATCTCCAAGGACAGCGGCTCTGCAGGGCCGCCTGGCGTGGCCGAGCTCTCGGACAGCGGCCGGGAGGAAGCGGAGGACGGCGGGCTAGCCCCTGGAGAGGCCTCCCCGGGCTCAGACTCAGAGGGTGGCGCCCAGGGCCCGGCTGCCGCCAGCAGGGACCACACAGACCAGGCCTCGGAGGCAGCGCCAGACGCCTCAGTGCCCCCCAGTGTCAAACCAAAGAAGCGGAGAAAGAGCTACCGGAGCTTCTTGCCCGAGAAGAGTGGCTACCCTGACATCGGCTTTCCCCTCTTCCCGCTTTCCAAGGGGTTCATCAAGAGCATCCGGGGCGTCCTGGCCCAGTTCCGGGCCGCTCTGATCGAGGCAGGCATGCCTGAGAGCACAGACGACAAGTAGCGCCAGCCCCAGGAAGGAGGATCGTGGTGGGAGAGGCCAGCACCTGCTCACTCCCTCCCCCAGGCCCTCCCCGCTTCCCGCCCTCTCCTGTCCCCTGGCACCCCCCCCAACCCCCCGGTGAGTTTGATGCTGACGTGCAAGGAATTTCTTGAGATGCTGCCATTTCTACTCAGAAGCAATCTTCCAACAGGCGAGCCCTGAGCAAAGCATCTGGACCCTGTTGCTGACTTTCCACTCTCGCCCCAGGCGGGATGTCGGCACCCGTCTCCTTGCAGTCTCCCTCTCAGGTCGAGGTGGAGTTTTCCAAGGGCCAGGCTCTGGGGCCCAGAGCTTTGCAGAGCAGCAGGACGAGCGGCCGTGCCTTGCATGAAGTGTGGGTTGCTCCGGCCATCTCCCCGTCCCTTCCATCTTCAGTGCCATTGTAGCTTCCCCATGTCCCAGGCCACGGCCTCTAGGTCCCCCCTGGCCCCCAGCACCACACTCCGCTGGGCCTTGTAGCCGCTGTCACTGACGCCTGGCTCCGCTCTGGCC